AGCAGGTGGACAGGGCCATCCCTGTGGCTCTGCAGGCCCCTGGGTTTCATCCCAAGAGCAAGGGGAAGCCACTGGAAGGCTGTGAGCCAGGGAGCACTGTGACCTCATTCACATTCTAAGACACTGACTCTGGGGAAGAATGTACTAGAAGGGCCCAGAGTAGATGCAGCATGCCACTCACAATAGGCAAAAGAGTAGACGCAGCATGCCACTCACAACAGGAAAAGGTGGAAACAAGCCAAACGTCCACTCGTGGATGAACGGCTGGACAGAATGAGTTCTCTCTACACGGCGGGAAGTCCTGACATAAAAGCTAGTGAAATACTGATATGTGCTACAACTTGCATGAAGCCTGAATCATTAAGTGCAACAGGCCAGTCACAAAAAGATGTAAATATATCTATTTCATATAAATGGAATCATACTATATACATACCATAATCATACTCTATAGTCATTTTATATATATATACACACACACACGTAGTATGATTCCATTCATACAAAAGCCTAGAACGGGCAACTCTAGAGACAGAGTAGATTAGTGGTTGCTTAAAGCTGGGGAAGGGGGAAAGGGGAGAAGGGAAGTGACAGCCAAGGGGTTCCTTTGGTAGGCGATAAAAATATTCTAAAATGGATGGTAGTGAAGGCTGTACAGATCTGTGAATGTACTAAAAACCACTGAATGGCACACTTCAAATAGGTGAAGAGTGTATGGAAAGCGTATCTCAACAAAGCGGTTTTGTTATTGTTGTTAAGTAGATGCAGTGAAGGGGCTATCACTATCTTCCAGGTAAGAGATGGCGGTGGGTGGGCCCAGGGCGACGAAGGGATGGAGTGGTCCAGGAAACTCCAGCTGTGTGTTGGGGCTGGGGGGGTGCGGTGCGGGTGTGAGAGGTGGGGGATGACGGCCACACAGGTGGTAGCCGGGTTAACCAGGGGTAAAATCAGGCTTGGCCTTGCTGTCCCATTCCCATAATCTTCCCCTAGCAGTATCAAGTGTGGAGCTTTTGGAGTTGCACTAATTTTTTTCTGTAATGTATAATGATACTGTTTCAACAATGAGAACTGGCACTTTACTTCAGAGAGATTAAAATGCACCTTTCTGGAGGAGAGTAAGCTTGGGAGGAGAGTTTGGAAAACACAAAGTCCTGGTACCAAAGGACTGCAAACAATGTGGGGCGGGGCTGTGGATAACGCCCTAGCTTCATTCGTTGGCTGCTTCTCAGGTGGAATCCCCCAGTGCTGGACACAGCTGGTAAATCACGGTGAAGACACATCTCAGCGCTGGGCGCACACACAACACCTTTCAAGACAACGTATTTTTACCGCTGCACTTGGGGACAGCCCCTCAGAACCCAGAGTTCATCAACTCCATGGACTCTTGGGGCAGTGCACATGGTCCCAAGCTCACCTCCGGGGTCTTTCTCCTGAGACCACAGCAGCATGGACTGCGGTTGAAACTGAAGGCTCTTTCCAATCCCACTGTAAAGCTGAACCTGCATTCAGTTCAGGTCTGGAGATGCCAGCTCACACGTGGCATCTACATGCTGTGCTCGGAACTCCAAAGAGGGGACCCCCACCCACCCAGTATTTACGCTGGGTCTGTTATTTACACAGAAGGGCTTGTTGCTTGACAATGTAGATAAAAATGTTACTGCCTCTCTGCATGTGCTACAAACTCATGGCATAAACCACTGGAGCAGCTAATGGAGTCTTCACACATCTTATCTTGTTAAAGAAGAGGGCCCTCCGCTCTTCGGCATCACAGCTCAGCAGCGAGGTGCAGCCACACCTGGGAAGGCAGCTTAGCTGGCCTGGGCTGCGCCACAACTCATCAGCTCTCACCAACTATCCGATGCCTCATTTTTTTTTTTTAGTGGAAAATATGAACTTCATTTTCAAATAGCAAAGTCCTATGTAAACTCACTTCCTGTTTGTTCCCTAGTCCCCCATGGTAGGACAAAAACCAGACAGTTACACAGAAAATTTTTATCTATCTACTCTGAAAAATAAGCTACCACTATGAGTCCTCTGAACACCTTGACGCACTTGTCCATGTTTCTTAAAGTAACTGAGAAAAACGTCGTGCTAAGGGCATCCATGAGAAATTGATGTTGGGCCCTGAACGACAGGATTCCGCTGCTGGTGTACTGCTAACAGACCTGGATAATGGGGTCATCTGTTCATTTTACTATCTAGTTCATCATCCACATGTGCACTTTTAATTGAAACTTAACCTTTGTATCCGACGTTCCAGCACAGAAAACATCTCTGGAGGTGGAGATAGTATGAGCGTTTCCCTAAGCAACTCTCTCAAAGAATTCTGCCTTTAATTTTCCGTTGAGTTAAATAAGCAAACTGTGACACACTTGCCTTTTCATCTCCACTCCCCCATTTCGGCCCTTCTGGGCAGGTTCTGGGGTGACCAAGTAGAACCTCTTCAAAACCCTAGTTCAGCCTAGAGTCATCTCCAAAGCGCTTGTTCATCGACTATTCCCCAGCTTAGCTGCCAATCACCACCAAACTCTCCCAAGGAGAGGGAGAGGGGAGTAAATGTTAAGTCTACCCAACTCATTTCATAGGTGACCTCTGAAAGATTTCAACGCAGAGCCCGTGAAAGACAAGGCGGCTTTATTAGCATGCTGAACCACGGCTGCAGCCCCCTCCCCTCCCTCTTTTATGAGCCCTTGTTATATAAAATGCCACAAAGGAAAATGGAAAAACAACACCTTTGCAGTTACAAACACAAGTTCCAATGGCCAGGCCAAATCCTGGCTGCTTACCCGATGTTATTTTTAGTCATTTAAAAGGCAAACATTTCTAAAAGGCCAGAGAACAAAAGTTTTCCTTGTTTTCTTTCTTTTTAAACACACACTCACACACACAAAAAGATGGAGGTCAGTTCGCAAGCAAGCCTCCTTCCCTGAGTTCAAATTTAAAGGCAAAGGCAGCCCGGAGTCGGAGAGCTCCTTCCCGAAGCTGCTGCAACCTTCAAACAGGATTTTCAAATGTTTCTTTCGGCTTATCTAAATTCCGGCATGACAGATAATAAATAGCGACTCATTTACTATCATCATAAAAATTTAAACAGCCTTGAAATAGTTGCTACAATACAGAAGAAATGATCAAACCCAAGCTCAGAAGAGTCATTCCAAATAGTAAAACTACTGCCACGCAGAAACATAAAGAGACATTGTTCCAATAAAAGCTCCTAGGTTATTGGATTTTTTTTTTCCTCTCTCTTTTAAATCTTCTACTCGGAGTCAACAACTTGCCGTTTTAGCCAGTGAAAAAAGGGCTTAGTAACCCTCAGCTATCACACTGGACCAGATCTGGTGGCGGATTTTTTTTTTTTTTTTTAAAGAAAGTATCTGATTTGATTCTACACAGTGATTAAACAGCTTTGTGCTCTGCGGGAAAGGGTCTTCCGACCCCTCCCCCTCCAAAAATGGCATCAAAGCAATCAAAATGGTAATGCCGGGCCTGGGTCCCCTCCCCCCGCCAACTCCACGACTTCACCCGGGCCGCGCGCCGGGCCCCCCCTCCGGCGGGAATGGAAGCTTCCACTCCCGGACGGGGGCGCGCGGCCGGGTGCGGGGGGGCCGCGGCACAGACAGAAAGGGGTTAGTGCATTCGTCCCAAGCCTCTCGTCCAGCCCGGCGGCCCAGACCAGGCGCCGGCCCGCGGCACTGCCATCTTCCTTTCAGCAAGCCCGGGCCCCCCCGTCACTCGCGCACGCCCCCTCCCATCACTTTTTAACTTTAAAGACTCGACACGAACGCCCGGCCTCCGAATTCTCCTTCGCCAGGGTCACCGGCAGCCGCTCCAACCTCTTCCACTTCTCTCCCCTACGCCAGAAAATCCCTCGGGGGAGGGGGCGTCCGATGGGGCGGCCCGGGCTGGGGTGGGAGCGCGGGGGCCGGCCCGGGCGGGGGCGCGCGGGGGCGGGCCCGGAGCTGTCCAAGTTTGGCGCTGGCGGCTGCGGCCGGCATTCCGAAGGAAGCGCGATCGATGGCCGGGGGCGCGGCGCGGGCGGGGGCGGGGCGCGCGGAGGGAGGGAGAGAAGGGGCAGCGGAGGGAGGGGCGCCACCGCCCCCGTCCCCGCCAGCGCGGTGCCCCCAGCGCGCCATTGGCTGCGCCGCTCAAAGTTCTCGGCTCCGGGCTGCGCGGGGAAGGGGCGGGCGTGCGAGTGCGGGGAGGGGGCGCGGCGGGGGAGGGGCAGCGGGGGAGGGGCGGGAGCCAGGGGGCGGGGGCGCGCGGCCGGCCGGGCTCCGGCGGCGGCATCTGTTCGTGGTGCTGAAACCCCGAGCGCTGAGCTCAGCGCAACTAAGTCACAATGGACAACTTTTCCTCCCCGGAGGGGGCCGGGAGGGGGGTGGGCGGCCGCGCCCCCGCCGCGGGGGAGCTTCTCAGGTGTCCCCAACTACACCTAACGCCCAGAGCCCAAAGTTGGAGCAGAACTGGGGGGTCCCGGGGGCGCCTTTCTTTTGTTCCCCGGGAGCTGGCGTCAGGTTCCAAGAATAAAAAGTGAAGCTGGGGAAGTGGAAGGTCGGGGGGAGCCTCGAGGAACGATTGCAAAACGAGGTTTGCCACGGAACCCAGAAATCGCTCCCAAGGAGTTTGGTGTCCAGGCCCCCACGGTCGCCCCCCTCCGCCCCCACGGCCGCCTCAGCGCAAAGCGAGGGACTCCGAGCCGGGAGAAATCGCCACGTTCCAAAAACATGTCCACCACCTCAAAATGGACGCCGGGCCGCGCGCCGCCTTTTAAGTGAGCTCCTCTCTTCGGCCCCCGCCGGGCCGGCTCTCCCCGCCGCCTCGGAGAACCCGGCTCTTTCTTTCCAGGAAAGGGGAGGGGTGGGGAACTTTGAGAACTGGAGACAGACCCCTCTGGGAGCCTGAGCGTGCGGCGCCCACGCTGGCACTTTTTAGGGCGCCGCCAAAGTGCCCGGCTACCCTCCCGCCCCATCCCGGGGGGGGGCCGCGATCCCCTCGCTTACTTGTTTGTCGCTGAGCGCGGCGATCCGCGGCTGCCTTTCGTGGAGCTGCTTCTTGAGGTCGCCGTTCTGCGGAAACACGGAGGAGCGGGCTCAAGCCGGCCGCCCGGGGTCAGGTGCGCCCCAGCCCCGCGGGCCGCGGTCCCCCCCGCCCGGAGCCCCGCGAGCGGGACCGGCCGCAGCGTACCCCAAGTTTCCCGGGCCGCGTCCCGCACGCGCGGCGGCCGGGCAGTGCCGCGCGGGGCCGCTTACCTGTGGCTGCCGCCTCATCGGGGCAGCTCGCGGGGCGGGGCGGGGGCCGAGGCCACCCGGCGGCGCGCCCCGAGCCGTGCAAGTTTGCAGGCCGGGGTGCGTGTGCGAGTGAGTGTGAGTGTGTGCCGGGGGAGGGGGGAGGAACAAAGAGCCAAGTAAACACGGCGAGTCCGTGTCGAGCAAAGCTCATAAATATTCAAGTCGCGTCCTAATCTCCCCAACACACACACGCGCACGCTGAGCCCCGCTCAGGCTCCGGCCGCCACGCCGCCGCTCGCCGGCAGCGATCGCCAAAACTACTTACGCCCACCCGGCAGGTTCGCCCCGGGCGCGGGGCCCGAGGGGAGGCCGGAAAGGGGGCTGTTCGCACTCCCCTCCCCTGGGCCGGCTCACGAAGGGGCCCCCTCCAGGCACCCTCCCAGTCATGCAGACCCTACATCGCTTAAGAGAAGACGCCAGGCTCGGGTCCCACGCGCCCTCGATCCCCCAAACTGTGCAGGACAGCGCCGGGGGCGGGCGAAGGGGAGCCCAGAAGGGGGTCTGCGCGTGTGATCACTCCCTCGCCCCCCGCCCCGGGGCAAACTCCAGCCTGGAAGATCCCGAGACCGGGAAGAGAGGACGACGGGTTCGGGTCCCCCAACCCCCTCGCCCCGCAACACACTCCCCGGCCCCGAGCCCGGCCCCCGGCCACCTACCTGGTGGCGCGCGAGTTCCACGGCGAGCGCCTCGGGCCGGCTCTGCAGCTCCATCCCGGCAACTTGGGCAGCACTTTGCGCTCACTTTGGCCCGGGCTCCCGGGAAGTTGCGCGGCTTCGCGGGAGCCAGAGCGGGCGCGGGCGGACGCGGCCTCCGGGCTCGGTGGGGGGGACACGAGCCCCCTCCCCCACGGCCGAAAGGGAAGGGGGCTGGCGAGGGGGAAGAAAGGCTTCCGGGCGCCGCGGCGCCGAGCCCGCGGCTGCCCCAACTCCTCAGGCTGCCCGGCAAGTTGCGCCGGGTCCCCGGGCTGCCGGCGCGGCCCGGCGCATGGCCCCCCGGCGCCGGGAGCCCCGCGCAGCCCCGCGCGCGCCCGCCCAGCCGCCGCCGCCTCCCGCGCGAGCCTCCAGCCGGCAGGGACTATATTTCCTCCGGCGCGCGCGCCTGGATCTCGCTGGGCCTCGGCAAAGTTGTGCCTCGGCACGATGCTAATTCGGCAGTGCCCGGATGGAGCGGGCCGGGGCGGCGGGGGGCGGTGCCGGGACCCTCCGCCCGCTGCGCCCCGCCCCCGCCCCGCCCGCGCCTGCGCACTGCCGCCCCGCCGCGGCCCGGAGCCCCGAGCGGAGAACAAAAGTGGCGGCGGACGGAGACGCACGCTCGGGGGCTCCGGGGGCTGCTCGTGCCGGCGCTCGGAGAGGGGCGACCGCGGGGTTTTCCTCTCTGTCCCCAGGTCCATCCCGGGGGACGCGGTGCCCTCACCCCCTGTGCTGTTAACGCCGAGTTGAGGACACTTTCCGCTGGGAGGCTGCGAGTCCGTGTTTCATTTCTCTCTCTGGTCCTCGGCTCCCTCCTTTCCCCGCTCCGCCGCCTCCCTCTGCTATTTTATTTGAATTCTTCCACCCCTCCTGTCCATACCAGCGCCGCGACTTGGGAGATAAAATTAGTCGCGTCGCAACATTCCCCCGCCGCCTGATGGCCTCCGTGTTGTTTAAACAGCAAGAAAATTGATCTCTTGGCTCTTCCTTTAATGATTTTTTTTTTTTTTTTTTTTTAACACTCGCAATTAAACTCTCAACAGATGTCACTGGACTTTTTAAGACTGTTGTTAAGAGTCGTAAACAGGCCCGGTCAATGCGACCTAAAACAGTTATAACTACAGCTGCGGAGATCGCGTTTCAGAACCCCCAGCCCCGCAGCCAGGAGGTTAATGTCCCAGAGTCACTGTCAACCACCTCGGGGCTGCCATCTTCATTCAGGTCGGAGTGCCGGGTGCCCAGTTGGCAGCAAACTGGCCCGTTTCAAACACGCTGGGGAGAAAGGGTGCCATCATAAGTCAAAGTAAACTTTTAAGCTGTTAAGTCGTTTTAACTTCAGATTCCTCTCCGGCAGCACAAAAAATACCCAAGCAAGCACTATCGACATATGTCCCTTTCAACATATGCCAACAGGTCACACATTTCTTTTGTTGGCAGAAGTTATTGGAATTCCCCCTTTTCTTTCTTTCTTTTTCTTTTTTTTTTTTTTTCAAGAGAGGACCCCAGTGTTCTGCTCTCTGTTAGGGCATTTGTCATAAATTATGTGCTTGGGACCCCCAAATACAGATGGCCCCTCATCCCATAACCCAGCACCCTTAACCCAAATTAGTTAACAGAAACTTGGTGGCTCACGCCTGTAATCTCAGTATTTTGGGAGGCTGAGGTGGGCATATCACGAGGTCAGGAGTTCGAGACCAGCCTGGCCAAAATGGTGAAACCTCCTCTCTACTAAAAATACAAAAAATTAGCCAGGCGTGGTGGCACAAGCCTATAATCCCAGCTACTCGGGAGGCTGAGGCAGGAGAATTGCTTGAACCCGGGAGGCAGAGGTTGCAGTGAGCCGAGATTGCACCACTGCACTCCAGCCTGGGCAACAGAGCAAGACTCCGTCTCGGGAAAAAAACGAACAGAAAAGACTCCACAGGAGAAGCCACTACCCTCTGGCCAGCATCTGCCTGAATCTGTGTGGGCTGAAGACAACCTGAATATTCTGTTGATTTAATTATGTGGGTTAATACGTGGATTATGGTAAGGATCATGTACATGCCCCTCTGTTTTTTGCCTAGTTACTCATTTCCTGTGTGTGTCTCACTCTGTCATGCAGGCTAGTGTGCAGTGGTGAAATCATAGCTCACCACAGCCTCCACCTCCCCTGCTCAAGGAATCCTCCTACCTCAGCTTCCCAAGTAGCTGGGACCACAGGCACATAAGCCATTACCTGTTAATGTGGATGCAAAACTAGCCCGTGTTTGAAGTGGCGGTGATCCCTTTGGTTTTGCCCCAAGCAAGGAGAAGCAGGGCTCCTCAAATACAAAGCAAAGACGCTGACTCGGGTTGCTGCAAGAGGTATCCACTCCTCCCGCTTCTGGGTTTAGCCCGGGTCAGGGCGGCAGCCTCCCTCCTTCGTGCTTTTGCTGGGCTGAACACCAGCCCAGGAAAGTGGACTGCCCTGGAGACCGGTGCTTGGAGAGCCAGAGAGAAATCGTGCAGAAAGAGGATTCCTACTGTAATCTCTGTAAATGCCACTGGCTTCTTGGTAAAAATTCTGAGTAATTTTATCAGCCACGTAGGTAATTAAATCAACAGAGGATATTCAGGTCGTCTTCAGCCCACACAGACTCAGGCTGATGCTGGCTGGAGGATAGTGGCTCCCACTATGGAGTCTTAAAGCACTGTTTGCAAGTTTCTGTTAACTAATCTGGGTTACAGTTACATCTACTGCCCTTCTGTTTTTTTGCATACTCACTTCCTGAGTGAGTCTGTCACACAGGCTGGCTCACAGTGGCTCTATCATTGGCTTACCACAGCCTGCACCTCCTGTGCCGAAGCAATCCTCCCACCTCAGCCTCCCGAGTAGCTGGGACCATAGGCACACCACCAGGCCCAGCTAATTTTTTTGTTTTTTTTTAAAGAAATGGGGTCTCACTATGTCGCCCAGGCTGGCGTCGAACTCCTGGGCTCAAGCAATCCTCCTGCCTTGGCCTCCCAAAGTGCTGGGATTACAGGCGTGAGCCACCATGCTCAGCCGAAGAGGAAGTTCTTGTGAACCAGCCCAGGAGTCCTGCACTCGCGTTGCAAGCGTGCATTTTCCTGAGCACATCCTGTGCGCCAGGCCTCCCTTTGCCCATGCTGTGCCCTCTGTCTGGGATGCCCTTTCTCAGAACTCAGGTTTTGAAAATCATTTGCATCCTCCAAGATGCACTCCAAGTGCCTTTTCTGGGAAAATTCCCGTATTTTCTATGCATAAGTTCTTTACCCTTCCTCCATCATCACAGCAATGATGATGAGTGACAATGAAGAACTCCCTTAGCAGAGGAGGCATTCTGTCCCCTAATGTAGGCAATTATTTTCTTTTTTTTTTTTTTTTTGAGACGGAGTCTTGCTCTGTCACCCAGGCTGGAGTGCAGTGGCCAGATCTCGGCTCACTGCAAGCTCCGCCTCCCGGGTTCATGCCATTCTCCTGCCTCAGCCTCCCGAGTAGCTGGGACTACAGGCACCGCCACCTCGCCCGGCTAGTTTTTTGTATTTTTTAGTAGAGACGGGGTTTCACCGTGTTAGCCAGGATGGTCTCGATCCCCTGACCTCGTGATCCACCCATCTCGGCCTCCCAAAGTGCTGGGATTACAGGCTTGAGCCACTGCGCCCGGCCGGCAATTGTTTTCTTCCCCACTGGAGCCGGAGCCAACTCTTGCGGGCAGAGCACGGTCTTCGTGTGTTAAATGATGTCCCAGAGTGCCTTGAGCTGAGTGGGTGCTTACTGGATGAATAAGTGAGTGAGGCAGTGAATGAATGAATGAATACTGAGAGATACATTCCATTGGGGGGAAGGTGGACTGTTGGTGATGATCATAGAAATGAGCAGTGTCTGCAGCTAATCTCAACATCCACATTTCTGCTCACCTACATGGTGTCAAGTGGATGGGGTGGAGGGGAGTGGGGCTTGAAGGTGTGGGTTTGAGACTTGAGTCCACCCTTAATAGCCTCATGACCTACGGCAGGTTACTCAAGCTCTCCTAGCCTTCCTTTCTTTGGATATAAGGTTGGAATGTATCAAACTAACTACAGTTACTCCCAGATCAACTTGGCTCCTCCTGCCCCAGATGTTGGCCGCTTGCTCAGTGGAGAGCCTCGATCGCTGTCCATCTGTGGCTTGGCCTGCCTGAAGGTGAGGGCCAGCCTTCAGCCCGCCTCTGCAGCGTGCTTGCAGTGAGGGAGTTTGTATCAGCTCCGGCACCCAGATCCACTCCTGTGGACCCAGGGAGGAGTGGGCTGCTCCCTGCTCTTCCAGCTTCTGAGTAAAGTGTTCTGGGGCACAGATCTGGCCTCCAGTGGCCAAAGGCTCAACACAACTCAGAAATCCAGAGGGGGGTCATGCTTCATGCAATGAACTTGGACCAGCTACAAACAGGATTCAGGAAGGAGCCAGCAAACGAATATCTCCCACTTCCTTGACTGGTTGGAATGCCCCAGGGCCCAGGGACCGCGACCGGCCTCCTGCGAAACAGCCCATACCACCGAGCAAATGGCGCTCTTTCACACATCCTCCTGTATATTTTAAAAAGCAGGCAGCCCAGGCTGGGCGCGGTGGCTCATGCCTGTAATCCCAGCACTTTGGGAGGCCAAGGCGGGCGGATCACAAGGTCAGGAGATTGAGACCATCCTGGTTAACATGGTGAAACCCCATCTCTACTAAAAATACAAAAACTTAGCCGGGCCTGGTGGCGGGAGCCTGTCGTCCCAGTTGCTTGGGAGGCTGAGGTAGGAGAATGACGTGAACCCGGAAGGAGGAGCTTGCAGTGAGCTGAGATCACGCCACTGCACTCTGGGCTGGCCGACACAGCAAGACTCTGTCTCAACAACAACAATAAAAAGCAGGCAACCGGATAACCCATCACCTTGGTGCTGCTATCCCTCTTTCCTGGCCTTGCTTCTCTTTCGCCCTCACTTTTGCTGTCCTGCCATTGCACCTCAAAACTTGTGTTTTCTGGCCAGGCATCGTGGCTCATGCCTGTAATCCCAGCGCTTTGGGAGGCCGAGGTGGGCGGATCATGAGGTCAGGAGATGGAGACCATCCTGGCTAACACGGTGAAACCTCATCTCTACTAAAAATCCAAAAAGTAGCCGGGTGTGGTGGCACATGCTTGTAGTCCCAGCTACTCAGGAGACTGAGGCAGGAAAATTGCTTGAACCCAGGAGGCAAAGGTTGCAGTGAGCTGAGATCACGCCACTGCACTCCAGCTTGAACGACAGAGGGAGACTCCATCTCAAAATAAATAAATAAATAAATAAAATAAAATTGTGTTTTCTAAGGAGGCCATGGCTAAGATGCAGAATAGCTAAACTATCATCCCACA